TGCCAAACAGCTTCTCTCCTTCAATTTCCAAAGAGAGGCATCAGCAAGCAGGTCTTCTCTCAGCCTCTGTTTAATCACCAGCAAAATGAACAGCTTGACTTATTGCCTATGGTCCCTTTCACCTCTGAAAGCATTTTATGCATTACAACTGAACATTTCACTAGAGTACTTATTGTGTGCCAGATTGTGTAAGTGATTTGTAGACATTGCCTCTTTTAATCATCATTCTAATTCATCATCATCATAATGATGAATTTCACTGCCTTTTTAAGGATGAAGCATGGAGACAGTAAGTGATATGAACAGTAAAAGGCACAACCAGGTTTTCGTCCCACAACACCCTAACCATTGTGAGTCATCTTGCCTTCCACTAAAATCTCATTCAGTTGATGAAAAAGACTAACATTGCCAGACTGTCATTGTTAAGTGCCCTTCAATTAACTACAACTCACAGTAACCCTATGAGCAACAGATGTGAACCTTGACTTACCAGGTACCATCTTCATGACTTCTGCCATGCTCAAGCCTATTGTTAAAGTCTCTGTGTCATCCCAGCTCCTTGAGGGTTGTTTTTTCTTTCACTGACTACTTTTCCCAGCATGATATCTTTTCCCAAAGACTGGGCCTTCCTGACAGCATGGCCAAAATTTGTGAAATGAAGTGTCAACATCTTTGCCTCTAAGAAACAACTCTGGGTACACTTCTACCAAGGCAAATGTGTTTATTCTTTTGATATTTCATAGTATTTCAAGAGTATTTCATTACTCTTCTCCAAAACCACAATTCAAAAACATCAATTTTTCTTTATACTTCCTTAATCATTTTCAGGTGCCTATGAAACAATTGAAAATACCATGGCTTGGAATAAGCACAACTTGTTCTTTACACTGATATTATTACTCTTAAACCTGAAAGAAACAAGACAACATGGTACTGGTACAGTGACAGACCCATCGATCAATGGAATAGAATTAAGAACCTAAACATCAGCTCATTTACCTATGCTCAACTGATTTTTGACAAGGAGATGAAATCGGTTAAATGGGGAAATAACAGCCTTTTAACCAAATAGTGTTGGCCAAATTGGAAAATCATTTGTAGAAAACTCAAGCAAGACCCTCACCTCACACCATACACAAAAATCAACTAAAGCTGGATCAAGGACCTACAAATAAAACCAAAGACTATACTCTTCATTAGAAAAAGCTT